GTATTCTGAATATTAACCTCAATATATGCTTTGATTATGCACCAGGCTTTTGAAATACACTTTCTTTAAGGTTTATTAGAACAGCCACAAGGAAAGTGCCAGTGTCTTGAACAGCCAAGTCCAGTCTGTTCTGGCCTCTCGCCCAGTCCCAGTGACAGCACTAGAACTGGGGGACTTCTCTGAGCAGCAGCTGACACATGGGCTCTTCTATTTCACATGTGCAGCTTTCTTCACATGTTGTGTAATGCAAGGCAACTTACATTATTTATGGGAGCAGTGGTCTCCTTTAGAGGATTTTTGTTCTATCTTGTTCACGCACAGGCTGTTGTATGTCTGAAGATCTCTCGTAATAGCATGCAGCCTCCCACTGGGTTGCTGCCTGAACTCACAGTCATCTTAGGGCTTGCCTTCCTCTGATTTTAAATAGTAGCAAGATGACAATCTTTGTAACAGTTTAAGTTTTAGGCAAAGCTCAGACTAAGATTATTTCCTGCTGGGCATTAACAGGACTTGCCACCCAGCAGGCTGAGCTGGAAGGAATCACTTTGCATCTCTGTGCCTGATTCTAGCATTTTGTAGCTGGGTGACTCAGCAGAAGGACTCCCTTTAGTATATAATGTAATGCAAGATACTTGCTCTGTATTCAGGCACTGAGATTGTCTTGCATGCAGGATCAGTTGAGACACATTTCGGTCAAAAACGTTGGAGATAGTGGAGAACATTCTGCATGTAATTTATGTTATGTATGCAGTTTTTTTCTGTCTTCCTTTCTACTTTTATAAAGAGGTGATGTAGCTTTAATGCACTGCGCAGATCATTAGTGTACTCTTCCTTTCCTGTGAGAATTTACCGTGCAGGTACCTCAGGTTCCAAGATGTGACAAACCTATGACTCATTTAATATGTTTGAACAAAGCTTAGATCACCCTTCAGTAACTTCTGTTTGCTTCTCTTTCAGATACTTGGAAGTCCTCGGAGGCTTTGTGATTTGGCAGGGCCCTGCTCCTCTGAGCCAGAATCCAGGAAGAGGTCAATTTCTAAAAGGAAATCTCATCTGGATCTTCTCAAACTGTACGGTTTGTTCCCTCCTTCACCCTCTTCTCACTTAAACCAGTGTCCATGTAACACTTAAACAGCTATGCCTTCAGAACAGTACTCAAACTAAGAGCCAGGGTATCTACCTGGTTAAATAAGTTGTGAAAATGGAAGAGAGGTAAAAGCTGTTACTGGTTTGTAGTCAGTCTGAGTTTGTTTTTAAAGGTTTACATAACCATGTAGTGAAGTTTACCAAAATCACGGAATCACAGAATGGCCAAGGTTGGAAAGGACCTCTGGAGATCATCTAGTCCAACCCCCAAGCTCAAGCAGGGTTAACTAGAGCATATTGCCCAGGATCACGTCCAGGCGGGTTTTGAATATCTCCAGGGAAGGAGACTCCACTACCTCTCTGGGCAACCTGTTCCAGTGCTCTGTCACCCTCACAGGAAAGAAGTTTTTCCTCATGTTCAGACGGAACTGCCTGTGTTTCAGTTTGTGCCTGTTGCCTCTTGTCCTGTTGCTGGGCACCACTGAAAATAGTCTGGCCTCATCCTCTTGACACCATCCCCTTGACACCACCCAGTTTGTACACACTGATGAGACTGCCTCTCAGTCTTCTCTTCTCCGGGCTAAACAGGCCTCTCTCAGCCTTTCTTCATAGGAGAGATGCTCCAGTCCCCTCATCATCTTAGTAGCCCTCCGCTGGACTCTCTCCGGTAGTGCCATGTCTCTCTTGTAGTGGGGAGCCCAGAACTGGACACAGTACTCCAGGTGAGGCCTCCCCAGGGCTGAGGAGAGGGGCAGGATCACCTCCCTCAACCTGATGCACCCCAGGATCCCATTGGCCTTCTTGGCCACCAGGGCACACTGCTGGCTCATGCTCAACTTGTCGTCCACTAGGACTCCCAGGTCCTTCTCTGCAGAGCTGCTTTCCAGCAGGTCAACCCCCAGCCTGTACTGGTGCCTGGGGTTATTCCTTCCCAGGTGCAGGACCCTGCACTTGCCTTTGTTGACCTGCATGAGGTTCCTCTCCACACAGCACAGCCTTCTGGTGTGTCAGCCACTCCTCCTAGTTCTGTATCATCAGCAAACTTGCTGAGAGTACACTCCGTCCCTTCCTCCAGGTCACTGATGAATACATTGAAGAAGACTGGACCCAGGACTGACCCGCTAGCTGCAGGCCTCCAACTAGACTCTCTGTGCCATTGATCACAAAATAACCAAATATGTTAGGTTACAGCTGCAAATTCTTGCTTCTGGGCCCTAACCTTGCAACCAGATAACTATGTGCTTGTTTGGGCATATGTTTCCCAGATGAGGTCAAAGGAGCTACTCCAAAATGTAAACATTGACAGATTGGGCAGGTAATATTTTTAGTTCTTACAAATTGCAGATCTAATAGGTAAGATGATTTTCAGGACGCAGCTGGCTTTAACTTTAGCTTCAGGGTTGTTGTTTTTTCAGTGCAAGTGCTTGTCTGTAGAGAGAGACATGGTATATGCTGTTACAAATGTATGGTAGCTGTTTTCCTGATTGCCACTCCCCTTACAGAATGACCATATCCACATGGGAGATGTAATCCTTTGTTCAAATTCTAATTGTTTTTCTCAGGAGTAGTCTTACTGGATAATTTCTAGGTTTTTTTTCTTGGATATGGAGGGATGGTGTTGGATGATAGCTCATGGGCTCGCTGTTGGAATAGGCTGCATCACTTAAAAGTGTTTGTTTTAATTGTAGTATCATGGATGGGATGACAGAAGCTTGCATCAAAGGTGGTATTGAAGCATGTTATGCTTCAGTGTCCTGCGTCTTTGCCTTGCTTGGAGCATTAGATGAGCTAAGCCAAGGGAGGGGTCTTAGTGAGGAGCAGATTCACCTGCTGCTCCGGCGCCTGGAAGAATTGAAGGATGGGACTGAGACAAGCAGGGACTCTATGGAGATCAACGATGCTGACTTCAGGTGGCAGAGGCGCATCCTGTCCTCAGAACATCCTGCCTGGGAATCAGGAAATGAGAAGAGTCCTGATATTAGCATTAGTGTTACCACAGACACCGGTCAAACCACTTTAGAGGGGGATATGGGGCAAACAACTCCAGAGGATAATCTGGAAAGTCAGAAAAACTCACTGCCATCTCCAGCTGGACATGAAAGCAAAGAGATTCATTACAGAGAAGCAGAGTCCGAAACCATTGACCAACCAGATGTTGTTCAAAGAAGCCACACCATAGTCTTTCCGGACATAACTAACTTCTTATCAGTTGACTGCAAGACCCGGTCCTATGGATCCAGATACAGTGAAAGTAACTTCAGTGTAGACGACCAGGACCTTTCTAGGACTGAGTTTGATTCATGTGACCAATATTCCATGGCAGCAGAGAAAGACTCTGGCAGATCAGATGTCTCAGACATAGGCTCTGACAATTGCTCCCTGGCTGATGAGGAGCAGACACCGCGGGACTGTCCAGGTCACAGGTCCTTACGTACTGCTGCGCTTTCTCTGAAATTGCTGAAAAACCAGGAAGCAGATCAGCACAGTGCACGGCTGTTTATCCAGTCACTTGAAGCTCTTCTTCCTCGGCTTATAGCTCTCCCCAGCATAGAGGAGGTGGATGAAGCACTGCAGAGCTTCTCTTCAACCTTCTGCTCAGGTTTGCAAGCAGATATTTACTGTCTAACCAAAATACATACTATAACAGCACTGTACACAGCTTCTCTTGTAGGAGCTAATCCTCAGAGAACACGTCCAGGATAAGGAGGTTTGTGCTCTACAAAGCACGTTTCACTACAGCAGCACCCATTTCATTTAAGGTGAAGCAAAATGAACATGCAAGCCCTGATCCAAAGGGAGGTCAATCCATAGACTCTGAATTGTGTCTTCAGAGACATATGTCCTGGAGAGAGAAGGCAAATTTTCTATAGTGAGGTACCTCTTCACAGGTTTATTAAGATCCTTTGAGAAATTTTGCATATCCTGCCATTAAGGAGAGGATGGGGTCACCCGCTAGCATGAATTTTGGGGTTGGCGTCACCTATTTTGAAAGCGATTCAAGTAGCTTAGTACGTTACTATGTACTGTCAAGCCTTGCAAAGAAGACAAAAAAGAATCCCACAGCTGTAGACTCTTGAAAGGATAAGAAAAGAGGAGGGATTCCCCTCCTTTTCATTCATTTCTATATTGCCAGCTATCATGACAGGAAGTCTCAAGTTCAGAACTCGGACCGAGTGAAAAATAGTTAAAGATCTCACATTTTTAAGAGATTAAATACTTGCGGTTCTCTCATGGTGAGAATCTTGGGGATCTTGACTTGGTCAATCGAACAAAAAAAGGCCCTTTGAAGGCTAGTTTGTCCTGTTGATAGCGTATTTAAAATGTATACAAATATATATACTTGTAGAAGGGCTTTGTTTTGCTGACAATGTCCAAGGTGACAATGCTCACTGAAATGTATTTTTCTGTTTTTTTAACTTAATTGACCACAACTGCCTTTCCCATCACTCCTCTCCTTTTCATTGCTTCATTCATTTGTGCTCTTATCACACACATTAAACTCCTACAGAGTCTGAAGGGATGCCTCCTGTCATCTTAAAGCATAATTTAGATATGAAGCTGGGTGAATGTCTTATTAACACCACACAAATAAGCTGATTCTTCTGATATTCATAATTTAAATGCTGCCCAAATAAGCCCTAATTCAGGAAGGTTAACGTCAAACAGTGCTCTTAAGAAACACAGTGGCCTTTCTATATCACAGAAAGGAGATATCTTAAAGGGGATATTTATATTAATCGTAGTCCTAAATTAGGTGCTCAGAAACATTCTTCCTCTCACAAAGCATTTCTTTTTCCTGAAAAAGAAGGAATGATCTTGAGGTTGTAGCAAAAGACTGGTACTAGAACTCCAGCTCTAGTTTTTGCGTGCCTGTTCCCTCATACATAAACTAAGGTATCACTTCTTTTATCTTAGCCTTTTGCCTGTCACGTCTCTTTAGCATGTTTTAAAGTGTTGGACTTCTAGATCTTAAGACTAAAAGGAGCTGTTAGGATAATTCAATATAACTAATACAGTGAGAAAGATGGAAGGATATCACTCAATTTTTCCACGAGCACATAATTTCTGATTTTACGTCTCCTTTAAAAAAGTACCCAGTCTTGGACTTAAACTGCTGAGTTGGGGAAGATCCTTCATGTTCCTAAGAATGCCATTTCTGTGGTTAACTCTGTGCTTGAAAACGTACACCATGTTTCCAGTCTGATTTGATCAGATATTTTTAGAAGATGTCCATCAGTAAGAAATCATGCAAAAATATGGTACCAACTTACTGTATTAAAATAGTCTGGAAGATATGTCCTGGCATTTTCCTAGAGATGTGGCTCTTACAGAGATGTGATTTTTGTATCCTCACAAGATCTGGGCCGTTCATGTTTCAACTGGACATATGCAATGGGACCCAGTCCAGCTAAAACGGTCACTTAACTTGTGCCTCAGATATTAAACAAAAGTCCGTGAGTCCAAGAGCTTGCGTTCCTGCTTAGGTGAGAGAGGGGTGAGTCTGAACGACCTGTAGAGAGAGACCTGCTAAAGTTGAAATACATGTGTCTGAGGGTAGGAACTTCCCCTTGAGACCTTCTGAGACACCGATCTGTTTTGTTGGTATAGGGAACATTAAGTACTTCCTTCAGGACTTCTTCATTAACCCCAAAAGTTCAGACACAAATTAGGTGACTGTGTTAAAGGAACTGGGCCTGCTTCTAGTATCTGTAACATCTATTCATATGTCATTCCTGAAAAACACATTTGGAAAGTCAGTTAAGAACCAAGTTGAGAAAAGAAACAAGTGGAGTTCTGAGACCAGCCAATACGGAAACAGTATTTTTGTGTTTCTGCTGAAATTCCTCATGTAACTGCTTTGTTTTGACAATTTTTCTTGTGTTTTGGGGGGGAAATGTATTAGCATACAATTTCATAGTCTTTCCTACGATCTAGGTCCTTAAATAGTGTTGTAACACTGTTGTGTATTCATAGGATTGCAAAACAGTGAAAGGAGGCAGGAATTTGAGGCCCTGGCAGAAGAGTATCAGCATGCTTCTCAGATGAAATTTGGAGAGAAAAAAAAAAAGCGAAGTCAGCTATGTAGAGTTACAGGAAAGTAAGATTTTGCAGTCAGTTGGTTTAAAAAAAAATCTTCCTACCTAAAGTTTTAGTTTTTCCTCAGAAAGTTCCTCCTTACTTGTTGCAAGATAAAAACAATGCCAAAAAAATCCTTCGTGACATTGGAATGTGATGTTTTATCTAAAAACTATTGAATTATCTAAAAATTCTCAATATTGTCTTGACTTGTACCAAGCAGTAAGTTTGCAGTTTACATAGACCTCCTTTGACCTTGCCAATTTAAATGAGCTGTTGTCTCCATTAAGGCAGTGTGCTAACCTCATTTTTCATTACAGATTTTTGTAATGGCAGATTTTTATAATTAAAGTTGGTAACCAGTATTCTCTTAATAAAGGCATGGCTGTTCTCATGAATTACAGTATTAAGGAGTTAATTCTAACACTTGCCTGCCACTGTGTGAATAATCACAGCAAACGTTTTTAGTACCTCTCTTCAATTTTGCCTCCATAGCCTTTGGTGGCAAGACTTTTATGTTGTTAAGCATTAATGCAAGTTTACACATCAGCTACTCTTCTGCCTTTTGAGAGCTGAGCTGAGCATCTGTCAAATGTACTCGGAGAAAATTGTATTTTTCCCATATTTTAGAGGAAATTAGGGACCAAATTTTTCCAAGCACTTTTGAGCGTTCGAATGCATGCTCAGTTTGCATATGCTAGTAGCCACTTTTATTATGTGCAATTATACAACTTCCTTTTTAATTGCAGTAGCATTGTATAGGAGGTTGCACAATTTTCTTATATTTTAAATGCAAAATTAAGTGCTGTGCTTTTTTTTTTTTTTTTTCCCAGCGATTGGTCCACATTTCCTTAAATATCTCTCTGCCCTGGGCTTTTTATTCCTCTAGCCCATTCTAATTCCTGAGGTACTTATTTAAGAGATATCAGCCTCAAATCAGTATATTCTAGATACCAGGTACTGAAAATATCATGATCTCCATCCAGCAAAATGTTAAGTTATATCTTTGCCTTCGGTGATGAAGGTGTCACTAGACCTCCTCATAGGCTTACATTTAAGCACATAGTTAAGGTTTTAAAAGCAGGTGAAGATTTTCTGCTAACAGTCACCACAAGAAAATCTACCAGAAAGACATGGAAATCCGTGTGGATATAGTGTGTGGCCAGCCCTATCACCCCTCTTCCACACAGGTAGCTCCCTTGAACAGTTATGCATTTGTTAGACCCACCCTGGAACAGTTATTCTCTCTCTAAATCCGCCCTCAAACAGTTATTCACCTTATCCACGCCCCCAAAGTGACGTCAGTGGAAAGTCCGAGAAGGCAGCAGCACAGAGCTTTCAAACCCTCACGAGGCAAGAAAAACATTTGTTTTTTTTTTCTGTGTGTGGCTTTTTTTTTAATGTTAATGGTTTGTTGTATTTTGTCTAAGAACAGGCATGAGCTATACGGTGGGAGGAATATATTCACAAGAAACCACTTCAGCAGTTAACAGTTGACACAGCTTTACTTTATCATGTAACTAACCTTAGAAGCTGTTTTTTGTTTCATTTCAAATGTTGCTCTAGGATAAATCTCACTCGTTAATCTTCCTTAATTGATGTTCTATAAATTTATTTCACAACTGATGTGACAACCGTGAAATATCGTGGGTCATGGGGGTTTTTGAATATTTCTGGGTTTTTCTTTTTTTTAATGGCTCAGACTACAGGGATTCAATATTGCTCCTGCTTGATTTATGTGTTTCCACCAGTAGGTCAGCTAACTCGGAGGAGAATTGTATATGCAGTTCAGTCCACCTGGGAAGAAGGGCTCATACTACTGAGCATGGCTATAAGGGGTAGTTTCATACAAACAGTGTTTTTAGGAGTACTGAGCACTTGCAGATGGCAATATGGGTCTGCCAGAGCTGCGAGTGCTCAGTGTATCTAGAAAGCTGGTCTTGCATGAACTAAACAGGGCTCGGACTTGTAAAAAGTTCCAGCCAGCTTGACCCCAAATATTTGCCCACAAAACTCTAGGCCATCACCTAATGGTGGTGAGCGCCTGATCCTGCAAGGTGCTGAGCACTCCGGTCCCCATCCAACAATTCACGTAGCTGGAACAGATTTACTGGGGGTTAAAAGGTCTGTGTCCGTCTTTAGCACCATCTGGTGCATTATATGCTCTGTTTCACATAAGTACACAGACTTTGCCTCTGCCCATTCCCACCTCACCTTCCCCGTTAGCATCACAGATGTATCCTTGCCCTTTGACTTAAGCCTGGCAGTCATCCCATTGAATCCTGCGACTCCATGTGTATTTAAAATTAATCATGTTGCTTTGCTGGACTGTGGCTGGAGTGTTCAGTCTGCCTGGCAGAACTGCATTCTAGGTGGACAATTTTTTTTCTGCTCCCTATTCCAATACATTTAATAAGAGTCACTTTGACTAATGATATGTTAACTGTTCTAGCGGTCTGTTGCTGCTGAAATGCTAGCATTAGTTTCTGAATTTTTTTTTTCAGGTAATATCTATGTAAAATGTGAAAGCTCACACTGTGTTTTTGTTAGGTATGATGCACTCACCAGGATTTGAGGGAAACCCAAATTTCAGCTTCCAGACTCTGATGAATGCAGATAGTCTCTACATGGTCTCACATTACACTCTGCTGCTCAACCTAAAATTGTCTAACTCGGATTACTACAGAAAGAAGCCTGCCCAAGCCCCTGTGTTGCTGGTGAGTTGGGAAATACAGGAAAACTGCTAAAAAAAAAAATTGTTTTGCTTCCTTTCACTTAAAACAGCCCACACACATAGTTGTCCTTCATGTTCCTTGTTGAGTGGAGAAATAATAATTGCAAATGAAGCATTCTCCAAGCTGCTAATGAATCTTGCATAATAAATATCATGCATCTGAATTACATAGCTCCCCTGTAGTTCAGGGAGGAACGAATGCTGCTTACTGATTATCAGTAAGGTAGCAGTCATTTAGATGGATACTGCATCTTCAGAACAAATCTTCATTAGCATCATGTGATGCAGGAAATGTTCTTAGGGCACATGTTAGCAAAGTGACATACCTTCATCTTGCAGCCACTTTGAAGCGTAATGACAAATTCCTTGCTTAATACTCGGTTTGTCTTTATACAGATGAAGACATAAGTTTGCGTAGAATCTGAATGAAAAATAATTAGGATTTAGTCATATGAGTTGAAGAATTTTGTGGCACCTAGGATTTCTCAGCTTCTTGGGCTTTTTAAAAATTTTTTTGAAGGCTGCAGGAGTTACAAAAATTGAAGCTGTGCTTTTCAGCTAAGCAGCCCAAGATGAGTAATTTCAAAGTTTTCCTAGAAATAAAAAATTGGTAATACACTGTGGAACAAAAAAATCAAAAACATAAGAAAAAAGTCTGCCAAAATGTATCATCACTGCTGTGCTTTTCATATAAAAGAATTCAGTTTTTAGCAGATACCAAAAATTGCTATATAATTACCAAAAATTGCTATATAATTGCATACCAATTGGTTTTTAACATCATCATCAGTCCTAGCATGCTCTTTAGCAGCTATAAGAGCGAATCTGTAACTCAAAATCTTCTCTAGGGGTGGCAGTGTGGACAACAGGTCTGAGCATAAACTAACTAATGTTGAAAATAGTTCAGATATTTCACTGGACCCCAGTGCATCTGTGGTGACCGTTCTGTGCAGAGGGCTTAATTGCTAAACAAGAAACGTTAGGTGCCACCACTTCGTTTTATTAGAGCTGAGATCCTACCCCCAGCTTCTGGAAATAGAGATCAGTGTGTCCCATTGTCAGAGCGCAAAAACTGCCATTAAGATTAGCATCTTGCATGAGCTCTCAAAAGAGAAGGGAAAGCTCCTTTGTTCACGTCGTTCTCCACGGTATAGACACATTGTGATCCTCAGCTAATACTTGTTCTTGCATAATTTTGTTTGCACTGTTGCTCTGCCTTATGCTCAGGAGTGGATCTGGTGGCTAAGGCTCATGCTGTAGGACTTACTCTCTTCTTATATCTCGTTTTTATGCTTCTCTGCAGAAGGAGTTCATGAAGCAGGTCCAGTCCAGTGGAGTGTTGATGGTATTTTCCCAGACCTGGGTTGAAGAGCTGTACCACCAAGTACTGGAACGAAACATGCTGGGGGAAGCTGGGTACTGGGGAAGCCCTGAAGAACACAGCCTTCCACTTATAACCATGCTAACTGGTCAGTACCGTGTTGTAGTGGCAAGGCTAACTTCCAAACGCATGCATCTAAAACAAGCTATAATAACATGCTACTTGATTTCATAACATACAAAAAAGCTTGTCACCGTGCAATGTGTGGTGTTTCACTGAAGTACCAGTGAAGAAGGAATCAGACTTAACTGTGGCAGGTATTTAAATGTTTGTTCTGGATCAGGTGGAAACCCTTTGAAGCCTGGGTTTAACGACAAGCAAACCCCTGAAACTTACTGGTAGTCTTGATGCTCTATGGCCAATGTGACCAAAAGCTGAATAGACTGGAATGTGCTGTTTGCATGATGCATATGTTTGTATCTGTGTTATGGCAGAGTCCCAAAGTCAGTTATTTTCAGGGTCCAAATGAGCAGAACTCCCTCCTTATTCCCCATGGAGGAATGCTTGCTAATTGAGATGAATGATCAGGGTATGACCAAAATAGCTCTGACACTAAATCGAAAAGGCTGCTGCCCAAAACCTCAGGAGGTACAGATGGACTTCAGGCGTTTCTGGAAGAAATATACCTCCTGTGATGCTTTTGGATGCATTAACTTACCTCTACTCCTAAAAAAAATATCTGTAAAAATACAAATTTTGGTTGCTTTTAGACACACTGTATTTTAAATCATTTGCAGTGTAGGACCCTGATGTATATAAGGAATACATAATGGATATGGCTGAAAAGCACTGCTGCTATGCTAGCGCTTCCCTCTCCAGTCATCTATATGTTAAGTGACTCACTGAACTCAGCTGAACTATTTCATTTTACACAAAATGCAGATGTGGTCTGCAGCTTTTGAGTTCCACAGCATCCCCTCAGCAGTGCTGCTGTCTTTCAGAAAGATGCAGTTTTTAAAAGTTGCCCAAGGTTACGTTAAAATGTATGTGTGGAGGGGAATTTTACATATTCTGGTCAGACGACTACAGAAGAAAGCTGGCCGGTATTCAGTTGACTTCTAGCAGCATAGTTTGTTCATCAAAATTTTTTGTCACTACATGCCTGTTGGGGAGCTTATTTTGAAGAGGGAAGTACATTCCAGTAGATTAGATAAAATTCTTCATTTAAATAATGTATTCTTTTGAAAAATGTGGTTTGGCATAGATCAGTAATGTTCAGTGTTCTATCAACCAGCAAACTGTCTGAAATAAATAAAATAAAGCTTGGATTTCTGCTTCAAAATAGTGCTTGAGAGGTGTGCCTACAACATAATTTCTTTGTAACAGGGAAAAAATACTGCAAAACAAAATATTTCCTACAACATGAAGTAGATTTTTTTTTCCCCTTTTTCAATTTGGAAAGAGATACCTTTCCCATGGATGCTTGGCATGAAACCATTGGCAAAGGAGTGCTAAGATTTAAAAAAAAATCACGGTGTTTTTTTTCTTTCAGGACTGGGGAAGGTGCTTTTGATCACTGAACGAAAACATTATTTAATTCTCTTAGCTGCAGTTCTAGCAGATGTGGGTATCTGTTAGTGACAGTGGTTAAGCTGCTTTCTTGATACCATAGCAAAGCCACTTCGCTATGCCTGTAGTGCAATACAAATATAAATAGTGGAGGCTGATCCTGGAAACCTTCCACTGATTGCACTTCCCTTGGTTCAGATTTGTGCTATGCCAGGGATATGCCAAATGGTGCCGGTGAGAAGCTGAAAGCCTGGAGCATCCCTGACAAATGCTTTGAAACAATCCTTACCTGCCTTTGAGGGAAAAATCAGATGGGATCTGCTGAAAGGCAGATGGATGTCTGTGGCATTATATTGGTTCAAAATGCTTTGTCTGCTTGAATGTCGTATACTGTATGACTTCAAAGAGGTAATTAAAGCAGTGTATGCATGGAGAACACTACCTTCAGCTAAGGCATTAACTGGTAATCAAAAGGCACCGCTCTGAAATTTTTTTGCTGATTTTGTTGAGCTCAGTGTTGCTCTTAGCAATGGAATAATAAACAGTCAGTTGGGAAGCTGAGAGAAAAACTTTGGAAAAACAACAGCCCTGAAGTACGTGGAGAAGGAGGAGATTGACAGCAGCTGCTAGAAGGCAGCTGCAGAAATCAACCTGGCGTCGCCAACATTAAAACATCTGTGAGAAGCTTGGACTAGTTAAGTTTTACCAGTAAAAGTTTCTCACGTAGGTCTTTTGTTGTGTTGGAGAAAGAGTTGCATTTCTTTTGTTGAGGTTGAACCCACATAGGCTTACTAAAAAACTCTGGTTAGGACATAAGATACTATTGCATCTGGAGGACTCAGACTGAGATCTGGGAGCATCCAGACACAGGATTCGGCAAAATATGAAAGGCTGTACTCAGAAACCTAGAGATTCAAGGGCGCAGGAAGTCCTAAACTGTAAGAAATACCAGGAAATCTTTGCCAAGAGTTCTGCTGACTGTGTAAGTTCAAGGGGGTTTAGCCCACTGGCTATTTCCCCTCTTCAAGAAAAAGCTGGTTATACTGGGCAAAGCATATGATGCCACAGCTCATGTCTGTACCAAGGCTTCACAAGGCTGCCAGAAAAGAGAACTAAAAAGTGTGCCAGAGAAGTCAGGAGCATTAGAACTTACTTGAACAAGGAGCCAGTAGGAGACACTTTCCTTATGCTGTCCATATGTTGAATAGTAATCTTTTGGTTTTGTTTGTTTTTGTTGCTGTTGTCGTTCTTACAGACATTGATGGCTTGGGAAGCAGTGCAATTGGTGGCCAATTGATGGCATCTGCTTCAGCACAATCCCCTCTTTCCCAAAACCGGAAGACAGATGATTCTGTTGTTGCAGGTATTAAGCCTCTATTAGAAGCACAAGTATGTCTCACTGCAGCAGGTTGTTATATACCATAAATATATTCAGATAGATTGGGTTTTAGAACAGCAACGTAAGGGTTGAGGGAAATATATCAGTGCATCCTATACACAAGTTGGATAGTCCAGCATGCAGAGGACGAATAGGACTTACTTTTTTTCCACTGATGATAAAGTTACTCTTGTGTTAATTTCCAGAAGTAATAACACGTTTCTCACCCCAGGAGTTGCTTTTGCCCGATACCTTTTAATTGGCTGTTGGAAAAACATGATTGACACCTTGTCCACACCACTGACTGGCCGCATGGCAGGCAGCTCCAAGGGGCTGGCATTCATCCTGGGAGCAGAAGGAGCCAAGGAGCAGAACCAGAAGGAGAAGGACTCCATCTGCATGAGCCTGGATGGTCTGAGGAAGGCAGCCCGACTGAGCTGCGCTCTAGGTACTGCTGCACTGGCGATGTCATGGCAGGCTCATAAGATAGGATGGTAACTTTCCAAGAGGGAATTTGAGAAAGAAAAAAGCAGCATCCTGTGCTGGTCTTGGGTGATCAAGGAACTGGGATGGCAGGACTCCCCATGGAGCACACTTACCCCATAGCATAGACACATTCAGCCATCTTTCACTTGACACCACCTATTACTAGAGTTGGGGAGGAAATGCTGATTAAACAGTAGTTATGTTCCTGCTTCACAGGGGTTGCTGCCAACTGTGCATCTGCTCTTGCTCAAATGGCTGCTGCCTCCTGTGTCCAAGAAGAGAAAGAGGAAAAAGAAATCCAAGAGCCCATTGATGCTATAGCTCAAGGTAACTGTGGTTAAAAGTGGTTGAAGTGGTTAAATGGTCTGCCTTATCTCATTGTGCCAGCAGAATTGCAACTGGATGGTATCTAGCTACACACAGGAGGAGGAGGAGGGAGGAAAATGTCACTGCTGTGCATCACTCACTTGTACTGGTCTTGCTGTCCTCAGTTCTTAGCATTAAGTCGTGCTGTAATTATATTCTATATGGAACTGAAATCAGTTGAACAACAGATAAGGCCAACTGCATTTTCAAAATGTGCGGTTTTTAAGCCTCTTGATGCTAATGCAACCAGAGGGCATCAGAAAAATAATACTTTTTTGAATATGTGTTGTGTGACAATATTATAAGCTGAGGTTCTGTCCCTATCCGTGGCTTGTGTATGCATCTTTTGTCATCATCAGATATTTAAAACTGTGTCTGAACTGTGCTAAATGAAGCTAAAATAAATGAAAATTTGTTACCTGTATATCAGCCGAAAAGTTCTGCATCTCTGTAACACTACTTCAAACCCTGCGGAAGTAGTAAAGTCTGTTGTCTTCTCTGATGGCTAGTTGGAGAGGTACATAAAATAAGGCTGATAACATCTGGTTTCTAATAGCAAGGAACCCATAACAAAACATAGCGGTTCATAAATGGCCCTCCTTGGTACTTTTATTCAGTATCTCTATAGTGAAAACAAAACCGAACAGGCCTCAGCATGAGCTAGCTTTTGACCATTCTGCTAGATATGACTGAAGCAAGTTGGCCAGGCCATACCTGAGGCAAAGAGGAGGTAGTATTGGTGGCCAGAGGCCAACGGTTCTGTTTTATGAAAGCTTACAAAGCTTCAGAATTTGTTTCCATTCTAACACAGCACGAAAATGAAGTTTTTCAGAGATTCTCATGAAAAAGAATGACGTCCAAACGCTTGTAGTTAAGAACAGGATTAGTTTTGCTTTGACAAGAGCGTCTATTGTCAAAAGTTTTTTGATGAAATCTTTTTATTGAAATAAATATGAAATCCGCAACACCTTTTTTCCTTAACAGAGAAGATTTTGTCTAAAAAAAAAAATCTAACCAGCTCCAGAGAGAAGCTTGTAATATCACTGGGAATGCTGTGTCTGTTCTGTGGGCAACAGGATGTGAATCTGGAGGGGGGGATGTCAGTCTGACATTGATTTTTTTTTAATGCACATCCTTGTGCAGAAAGGATTTTTATTTTTAAATGACTTTATGAGGAAGAGATTGGGTTCCCTGTTTTTTTTGACTAAAATCCCCATTCCTTTATAGCCGTCTTTCAAATTATGCACCTTTGCTACCACAGTATATACCAACAAATGTTTGTTTAAAAGCTGGAGAAGGCAATGGTCTTTTTATTTTTTATGTTGCAGTGAAACAGAAAGTTGAGCAGAAACTGGAGCAGATGGGGAAAGTGCAGGGAGTCTGCCTACATACTGCTCATGTTTTGTGTATGGATGCAGTCCTCAACGTGGGCCTCGAGATGGGGAGCCACAATCAGGACTGTTGGCCTCACGTGTTCAGGTATTCACAGTTTTCCTAAAATAGAAACAGAATTTATACCCTGTTGCCTGAAAGGGGCAGACTGAGACAAAGGGCTTTATGTACTCTGGGAGCATTCTATAATAAAGTAGCAAGGTGAATAAACTGTCAGTATGTGTAAGAGAAAAGACAGTGCTGTTTCCCACCACTGTTCAGAGACAAAATCAAAGCCTAGAAACTCAAAAATTACCAGAAGACTGTAGCAGAACCAGGAACCTACACCTTCAGGCTGCTGGGCTGGTACCTAAAATATTTGCTATCTAGGCACATGCAAGGCCGAAGGATGTAAGAACACAGATTATCTGTATGCAGTCTGAAAGTCACAAGTCATCTATTTTGCAGTCTGAAAAGAAGTCTTGTATTGTGTCTATTTCAGATGTAGACATTGGTGTCTGTGAATTAACAGTGGCTTTGCATGTAACCTGGCTTCTTACAGTGATGTGACTTTGAAGTAGCTCAGAGCTTTGCTTACACTGTGTTTCTGACTTGCCCCTAAGTAAGAGTGTTGAGTACAGACCCAACTGTACTCAACTGTACCCAAGTTTCTTTAGCGAGCCCTGTGATTCAAGGGAGGAGGAGTTGTTTGGGTTTTTTTTTTATTTTGTTTTTTCATCTTTTGCTTCTCCTGTTTGTTCTCAGGGTGTGTGAGTACATCAGCACGCTGGAGCATACCCACTTCAGTGATGGCACTTCTCAGCCCCCTCTGACCATCACCCAGTCACAGCAGACCCCCGGCAGCCTGCACCTGGACTCTGAGCCAGGGGAATCTCCCCAGGAACTGACCCCTGAACAGGAGACTACTCTCAGCAGCAATCCTGTCATTCAGCCAGTTTCCATCCAGGAACTCATCAAGGAGGGCAGCAAGGGCAGAGCTTTTGACTTCCGTGGAGGCAGCCTGCTGTGTGGGACCAGTGCTGTCAAGGCTGTTCTCACACTCTCCACGCAAGCAGACAGGTAGGAGCAGCGCTGTCACAGGAACCAGAGTCCCTGTTCCCTAAACCTCTAATGGACCTTTCTCCTGTGCAGTGAGGCTCGATCTTTATGGGTGTTGTAGCCTCTTGCTTCAGTGGAGTCTCACAAGAGAGCTACATGTATAATACAACCAGTGGTTCCTAAAAGAGGTGGTTTTCTGCAGCTCTGCAGTACCTGCCCTGCTTTTTGGAAGCACTGGGCTGTTTGTGTCTATGCACAACCGTGCATGTGCCAACTAAATGACATGCATTCTGCTCACACATAAGTTAACCTATTGTATTTGTTCATTAAGGCAGGCAAAATAAAGGGGTGTCATGTCCTGACAGAAAGGGACTGAGTGACAAGGCCAATGTCAGTTAGAAAGCAGCTGCTGTCAGCCCTGCCCCCAGGTATCTGGAGGAGGAAGGCCTACCAGGCACGGTTACTGGTTGGGTTGACTATCCCTACAGCGCAGTCTGCAAACTGATGTGTCACAGACTTTCTCACCATTTGTGCTGTTTGTTTGGCAGTCCAGGCTACAGTTGAAAACTTCCTGTTTTTGTGTCCTTCTAATACCTTTTTTTCTCAAGCTGACATCTTACACTCTTGATCTCTGCCCATAGGAAGGATTTATAAATAAAATTCAGAGGAAAAAGTAATGCATACTGACAGTGCTTATAAGAGCTTGATTCTGTGCTTGAACAGTACGTTTATTCAGTAAGTTCATGATACAGCACAGTTCTGAGCATTAAAGAATAATAAAGGTACTGTAGTTTTAGGGAGGCAGGTTTGATTTTTGCCGTGTTACTTTGTTAGGACTCAGTCACCAATTGTTCAGGACAATAGAAACTTTTTCATTAATGAGAATGCCAGGAAGTCATAGTTGTGTCTATTTGTGACTACACCATGTGAAATTTCATTGTGGTCTCTGTGGTAACCTACCCTTTACATAAGCATGAGTTTACTGCTTCAAGGGTACTGATCTTAACTCCTAAATTTTAAGACCTCATTGCATCTGAAAATAACACCTCTTCTTTATGTTCCTAAATAGCAATTCAGGTGCAAAAACTTAAGGTCTAAGATTTAAATTAATTAAGTGTGCAAGTGAATTTCATTTTACTCAGACTTCAGATGGGGCAAACTGCTGCAGCTGTAAAGTCAGTGAAGCCATGGTGATCTATATCATGAGGACTGGGCATATCCTCACTGTTTTTTGAATTACTGTTTCAAGGAACTGCTTGTGGCATTAAGGTCCTGTAAATGTCAAGGGGTGATCTTTTGAAAAAAATGACTTTTTGCTTTGGTGCTGCAGTTGAATCTTGGAAGGGCTCTGGTTGGTCATTGAACACTGCTTCCCACCTTCCCAATAATAAAGCTGCTGAATCAAAGTCTTTCTGTGGCACTATATAAATGAAAAAGTCCTCAATAAACCAGTGTGTTGCCAAAGGCAACACTTATTAGCTGTATACAGCAAAGGCTTCTCCTCCTACATACATATTTAAGCTACCATGTCATGAATTTTTCAATTAGACTCTGCTCTTTTGCTTACAGGCTCTTTGAAGATGCCACTGACAAGTTAAACTTGATGGCACTGGCAGGCTTCCTTTACCAGCTGAAGAAGGCTTCTCAATCCCAGCTTTTCCATTCAGTCACAGATACAGTTGATTACTCCCTAGCAATGCCAGGTAAATTGCCTGAAGATCTATTACAGAGTTCTGTTTCCTATGCAGCTGTATTGCTTAGAAAATTTGCTTTGTATTCATATAGTTTTAATTTTTCTAAAAAAAAACTCAAAGGTATCAGTAAAACACATTTAGTCTAGTAAGATCTCTCTGTATGAAAAATTCAGTCTTCAGAAAAGGTGGAAAGCATTTTTTGGACAGGAACCACATCCACACGTGTCATGAGACACATCAGCAGATATGAAATTGGTTCTTGGACTTTGGCCGTCTTAGTTGTCCACAGATACTTAATTACAGCTTCATTGTGGAGCTCGATCTAGTAAGGAAACTTCAGGTTGAATGTAGACCTAAGATAGTAGAATTTAGGTTAGACATTTGAAAAGTGGAAAAAAACTCAGAAGTGTTTATTGAATGAGCAGTAGCAAGCCAAGTGTACAACTGAAGAATGTAAAATAAAGCAGTGAGATCCCGTCTTTGCGTGCTGTTGCCCAGCAAAGTGGAATATATCCTTTCCAATACAAAGCCCATGAAATGTACATTCCATGACAGTCTCAAATAGAGCAGAAGGACCAGACCCAAAGGAAGATATTCCACTTACATTTGAACTGTGCCTTTAACAAGTTATATCAGCTGCACAGTTTTGATGCTGTCCTGTAGCAGAGGTGAATTTTATCTGGTATATGTCTCAAATTTAATAAGTTTTCCCCGTCCATGGAGTGCTACTTGTCATTTTCTCAATGTGACACTTTGAGTTTGTTGCTTTTTCCCCCCCTGCTGACTGTGTCTCTGGGTCTCAACATTCGTCACTTCATTTTTAATAAATGTTTTTTGTATGTAAGAGTCAATCACCAGTGGTTAGTAATAATGATATTAAAATAAGAATGGAGCAAATAATTGTGTAGATATTTTTATATTAAAAGTAGCATGCCCTCTGACTAGGTTTTTCATCAGAGATAAAAGCACGAGTATATTTTAAATGAGACAGTGAAGTGTAATTCCAAATGTTGTAAGAGCAAAGGAAGATGAATCCTTTTCAATAGGAAATGAAAAATATTACTGGTTGGGAAGCAGAAGATCATTTTTTCAAAATCTCTGCTTCACATCCTTTGCCTTGGTGAAAAATAAGGACAGACCAAAACTAAATAATCTGCAGTTTATATTCTTTCCTGTAGATGTCACCAAAGGTTTTTGCAATGACCTCTTTGGTTCTCATTGTGAATTATTTAACTCTGCTTAACTTGTCTGCACTTACCTATACTAGATATCATAAATGAATTATAATGTGTTCATTTCCCCAAGTTTTTTATCTTAAAAATGTTTGAAAAAAATGTTTGAAAAAATCACTTATATCACAATGAAGTGCATTAATAAGCTTTTTTTAAAACTTGGTTCTTTTACCTCCAAAAGCATAGACTGTTGTCTTACACTGATTTCTTTCTGTCTTAGTACTAATAATTTCTACCCTGGTTTAAATTCCAGTTTAGACATCTAGAGATGGAGGAGCTGCTGTGGCTTAGCTTCCATGTATTTTCTTTTACTTCTTTGTAGGTGAAGTAAAATCTACGCAGGACAGGAGTAGTGCACTTCATTTGTTCCGACTTGGTGATGCCATGCTCAGAATTGTCCGGAGTAAATCGCGCCCACTGCTCCACCTCATGCGCTGCTGGAGCCTCGTGGCACCTCACCTCGTAGAGGTAGGAAGTGGAGAGAAAATGGAAACGTGGGGAAGCTGAAATGACTAGAGAAGACTTGATAGCTCTTAAAATATGTCAGCCCTCCTCATTCTGTCATATCTGGACACAAGCAGTCTCCTGTTAGGGTAGTGCACATGCTGTGTGCAATGTCTCATATTGTGGTACTGCCACTGAGAAGTGCTCCTGTAAATAACTGAAACTGTTCTACCACATTGCAAGTAATTCCCCCATCTATCCATTTTCTCAGTCAAGAAATTCTGTAGCTGTGCAGCAGGTTTTCTCATAAAAGGGTACAGACTTTATTTTCCCACATAAAACCAGCATGACTGGGAAGATGGGGATGTTTTTTTCCCATTCCTTCTTCCATGTGAACCCTACCTAGTCAGTGGCATACCATTGGTAGCCACATAATGTGACGCATGGATCATATGAAATCAGACTGAAAGTTTGGTTGAGAAGAGGTTGTCTGGTGAAATGCTGGTGTCTTGACTTCTCACAGCTTTTTGATTTGTATCATTTGTATGAATAAATGCTAGTACTTGCTTGCTTTCTCTTAGTGAGGTGTGTGGTGTCATATGCCCAGGTGTACTGTGAACATGCTTCTCTGCAGTTTAAAATGAGTAATTAAGTAAATTGCCACAGCAGTTTGTTTCACTGACTCATGAAAGTGTCTGACATACCTTACAGCAGAATTCAGCCATGGGGGAGGCTCAGTGGAATACCATCACGTGAAGTAAAAAATAACAGAGTATAGTCTATTTGTATGTTTTAACAGCCTTTTATCTTGAAAACTAAAGTCTTATTTGGTTTTGGATTCCAGCTTGAGACCACTTTAAATATCTTTCATTTTTTGAACACTTTTAAACCTTTTAAGATCCCAGACTGTTTTGGACTCCTCACATCCTTTCCATGTTTTTAGAATGACAGACTGGTCTGACTTTTTGGCTGACTTCAGTGCAGATGAGGGCATTACTGGGAAGCAGCAACATCAGAGAAAGGACTGAATTCAGCATAACCTGCATAGTTGCTCAAAACAGGGTAACTTTATATCCAGATGCACTGGTGTTTCTTTTAAATAGCTCTTCCAGAATAAGCAGATACTTACCACTTTTCAGTTCTGTAAAAAGCCAAATAGAAAAAAAACTTTGGCCATGCAAATATCAAGTCTGTTGTATATATGCAGAAACTAGCCTTTCGAAGGGTCACACAGTGAGAACAAGGACAGTAATTAACACCTCACGTGAGATTTGCTCTGTGGTATATTTGTATATTTTTAGCTCCATGCTTTTTGAATTTTCAGTAAACCTTCGTGCAGCTCTGGGACTTCAGGCAGGTCAGAGTCTCGGTGACCCATTTCCATACCAGTAGTCTCCTGTTTTTGTTGTAATGGGATCCTTAGTCACATTACTGGTGAAGCCATTTTTAGGGTTCAGCACCATCAAGTACCTGCCTCCCTTAAAATTTTTTCACTAAAAAGCAAATTTTTGGCTTGGACGAACTCTCATACTCCTCCTCTCCCTGCAGGCTGCCTGTCATAAGGAGAGGCACGTGTCTCGGAAGGCTGTTTCCTTCATCCATGACATCCTCACTGAAGTGCTGACAGACTGGAACGAACCTTCTCATTTTCACTTTAATGAGGCACTGTTCCGCCCCTTTGAGCGTATCATGCAGCTAGAGCTGTGTGATGAGGATGTCCAAGACCAGGCAAGTCAACCCTGATTAGGGTGTCTGTTCTGTAAGAAGGATGGTCTCCAGAGTGAACTTAGTCACTTGAGTGTTTCACTAGTTTCATTCAATTAGTGCCTCTTAATCATCCTCAAGGAATCAGGAGGCCTCTTCCTGCCCAAGCCAGCAATGCAGGCTGTGGTAAGCACAGTTGTCTGTCTACCGCAAAAGAGCCCAGACACATTGTTCCAGTGTAACCTGCTGGATTTTGTGTTATGTAGGAAAGCTGAATGGTGCATAAGTGACCCTGTTCTTTTGTTAGGTTTTTCCATAGAAACATACCTGAAAGTGATATTTTTACCTACTGAATTATTTCTTTTTCTCAGGATCTAATGCACCAGGCCTTAGAACTGTCCCTTCAAAGAGCTGATAATGTGCTGTTGTGGAAGCATCATGCTATCAGAACTCTGTACCTGGTCATTTGCCTGCTCTTCCTTAGATCTGTTCTTAAAGTAATTTAATAAAACTTTTCTGTTAGCTATGTAAAAACAAATTAATTTAGATTTTAAAACTCTGAATAGAACAGATTGAAATCTAGAAATGTGTTCAGAGCCATTCTCATTCCTTCTGTGCTCCAGCTAAGTGTGAGTTCTGATTTTGGGGGTTTGTTTTTTTAAGCTCTCCTATACTGTCTGCAGGTGGTCACCTCTATAGGAGAGTTGGTAGAAATGTGTTCTACTCAGATCCAGTCCGGATGGAGACCCCTGTTCAGTGCCCTAGAAACAGTGCACAGCAGCAGCAAGTCAGAGGTTAAAGAGTACCTTGTGGGAGAATACTCCATGGGTAAGGACTTACTGCACTGTCTGATTCATATGTGCGTTTGTTTCCTTGTCTCATTTCTTGGGAACATAATAAATAATACATTTTAAATACCCTACATGAACAGATGCTCTCAAGCAGTACAACTCACAATATTGCAGTGGCACTGCAATATTCTAGGACTGTACCAAAGTATCTAGTTTATTGGTTGGGGTTGGGGGGAAGCAGAGGTAATGTTCTGACATTTTGTCCTCTAGATCCTGGCAGATGAGTAGAATGAGACAGAAATGCTTCAGACTTATTTGAGTATTTTTGAGCAAAACAGCAGTGCTGAAGCGCTGGAGTTGGCTGGGCTGCTTGAGAAAACAAAGCATGCTGCATATGGCTGCCGTTTCTAATATGGACTATCCTGTATATTTTCTCATTATGTGAAATGGATTGCTCTTACATATTAATGTGAGTTAGTGTGATAGTCCAGGCAAGTGCTTGTCCAGGCCCTTAGTCATGAGGAGCCAAATTGCTATTGCTCCTACAAATTGTGTTTGCCATATGAACAGTTCTACATCTCCCCCAGACAGAGATGGTTGTTTGTGTGGTTGTTCATTTGCGCCATTCAAATGTATTTTTTAAATGTTTGAAGTCATATATGAGAGATATGGTTTGCCTCCTAAAAGTTTGTCTATCAATCAGATCTGTTATGATGGGTGGCAAAATTCAAATGTATACAGCTTTTAAAGACTGATAATCTACTTAGGAAAAATAAGGCTATTTTGCCACTGCATTAGAAGAGTCAGGGTTTTCCATAAGGCTGCTGTCATCTTGACAGTTATCAAGAACTAAACCAGAAACCTTACCAGAGGTATTATAGCTACTGACCTGAGATCAAGAGCCCAAGCCTGCTGTTACCATTTGGGTGGTGGAAAGCTGATGCTTTGCATAGATGAGGCAAAGAAGGCAGTCTGTAATACATACTTCCTATGAAGGAGTACATTAGTTCCTTTCAGGAGCAAGGGGAAAGAGCGTATTAGGCTTTGCTGCTAAGATCATTAGAACATTTCTGTCTCTCTTTGCCCAGAATTATTGAGAAACTGTGGGGAAACCCGCATTTGCCAGGAACAGAGAAAAATGCACCTTGTTATTTCCACAGGGAAACGCCAGGCTCCAGTGTTTGATGTCTTTGAAGCATTTCTAAATACAGACAGCATCCAGGTCTTTGCCAATGCTGCCACCAGTTACATTATGTGCCTTATGAAGTTTGTCAAAGGACTGGGTGAATATTTTTATTTTTCCTTTTATTCTATTAAGCCATGGTGCGTCAAACTTGATTCTGCAGAAGAAAAGAATCCTGCTACATAATACAGAGGATGGTAGGGAGGAGAGACTGTGAAGACATTGAGCCCAGAATGCTTTAAAAAAACCAAGATCAAGGGATTATTTCAGAAACATTTCTAATGCTATCAAGTTTTCAAGTTGCCATATCAGCAAAGATTCATCTCATTGTTAAACATCTACTTCATTTGGTCTTATTTGCACCAGAACTTGATTATATTCATTTTAAAAAACCAAAAAAACACTGCAGAATGTTGCAAAAATGGTCCAGAGTTGTGCAGTAGTGGCATGAATTGTCTGCAGCAGAACAGAGACTGTTTTGCATTGGGTGATCAAAGCCACACGGCTTCTTCCTGCTCTTACCCACTTCAGCAGCAGCAGTGATGGGTGCAGGCAGTTCTAAAATTCTGCTCAACCTTCAGTGAGATCATGAGCATCGCAGCTAACAACAGTCTGTCCCTACGATTAATCTTTCCATTGTGTTACTGAGCACAGCAGAGACCGGGAGTGTCAAGTCAAGGTGACCCTGCAAAGGAATTGTGGTGCTTCACCAAACTTCAGAGCAAAGGCGAATGCTGTTGAGTCGTTCTGCCCTGTGTTCACATTCCCTTGCTTGCCTTGATCATTAGAATTTGACATTCTTTCCTAAGCCGTGGTAATGATTTTCTCCTTATGTAAATTGCAAAATTTCTAATGGGCAGTAAAATGAGACTTTTCTTCTTGTGTATATATTATTACAACTTAGGCTGAAGATCCACAGAGGTATTTAGATTTGCAAGCAAGTTCCTTTGATTTAAATGAAGTACCTAACTGCAGTGGGATTTGATCGTTATTATTAATCCTGTCCCATTACATTATTTCACCATTAATTTCAACAGGGGCAGAATTCAACCTATGATGACAGACCAGAATTGTAATTATTACTACTTTATGAAAGAAATAAAATTGCATCTCCAGAACCAGTAGAGGGAACTCCTGTCCCTTCACAGGACTTAAAAGCCAGTCTTATACTTGTTTAGGTTTCTTATTTTCATGAGATAAGTCTGTCCCCTTTGTGGTGACAGGTCCTACAGCAAGGACTTTTTTATATTAAAGGTATTAGGACTGTGGGACTTTGTACTGAAACAGCAAATATACTACTATTTACATGCTTTTTAAGGAAAAACAAAAGAATTCAAACTTTAGTGGCTGATTTGGCCAATATAGAAGACTATAAAATACATTATGGAGGGAATAATTAAGGGCATGGAAAATGCAAAGAACTTGAGTGAAAGAAGAATAGAGTGGGATTTAATAGAAGTAGATCATATTAATCTTGTGTTTCTCATGAGAGGAGTAGATTATTGAGGCAGTAAAATCTTAATGCAGGCAGACATTTAGTAAAGCCTCAGATTTGGCACTAAATGGAAAGTACGTGGTTAAAAATGGATAAATGGGTATGAGCCAAGAATTCTGGGTTGGGCAAAACATTGGCTGAGAGGGGGAGGAAAGCATATTGTGCTGAAGGGGAAAATACCAGAGTGAATGAAGTTATCCAGGGAGGAGCTCTGCAACGGGGGGTCTTGGAACTGATCTGCTTATTTAATATGCTTATTGAAGTTGACCTAAAAGGAAGTAGGGGTTTGCTTATGCCACAGGGTTAGTAGTACCTGTGGTACTGAGGCACTACAGCCTGAGGATATATCTTACAGTTGAAACTGCGTGACCCTTGAAATGGATCCTCCAAGGCTGCATTAAAAACAGTGAAAGGAAATTTTGCAGTGCAAAGTACGAAGTCATATATCTAAAGAGTAAAAGGAAGAACTACTAGAATAAATTTCCAGGGGAGTGGAGTGCAAATGAGTAGAAAAGCCGGGGTATAAACTGCGATCGATATTAATGTATTGTTTGTATGAGCATCATCTAGTTACCATCTACTAAGATCAGACAAAGGATGTTTTCTTGTGTCTCTATTCATATATTAGGACACAACTGAATGAAAAAGAGCTATTAATGCTGTGTTTTTTTCTTTTCTTCTGTCCCTCCTGATGCTGCCGTTCCCATCCCCAGGGGAAGTAGATTGTAAGGAGATGGGTGACTGTGTGCCAGGATCAGGATCCACATCTACAGACTTGTGCCTTCCCGCGCTTGATTACCTCAGGAGATGTTCTCAGGTAGGCTGAATGATATCATACAGGTACTAAAGTGGCTAGGGAAACAGTACTGACCTTCAGGCTTTGCATCAATGATTAGATAGTTTGCATGAACACAGCAAATGTGCAGTAAGCCTGATGGTAATATCCTGCACTGCCAGATGGAGAGTGGCAGTCTGAGGGAATATCATACTCTCCAGGCAAGCTAAAAGTAGGAAAACTCGGGAGATAAAAGCACTCAGACTTGAGGTGCATGTTGGAAAAGCAGACCATAAGCAATGTGAACATTCAAAACATGGTACTAGCAGATTCAGAGTTAAATTAATTCTTACTTAAACAGTTTCTGTAAGCAGTGATGGGAATTCTGGAAGTAAAGGAGAAAAGGGTCTGAGAATTCTCATTTAAGGAGAGCAATGGGTTACACCCTCTGAAACACAACAGCAGCTTATCTGTACCACAAAAATATATCTGAAGCCCAGGGCAAATCTCTTAAGAATTAGAATGCCTGCATGTTTCCTGTAATCTCCGTGCTTGCAGCACAGATTATTATCCAGGGTTATTAGGACATTTTTTGTCTGACTTATATTATAATGTTTTTTGTATTTCTCTAGTACCTGCAGGTCCTTGTGTTGGATCCAGGCCATGTTTTTTTCTAGGTACTGTACAAATGCATAACAAAGGATGCTCCCATAGCAGAAAAGACTTACTATCTAAAACAGAGACAACAGGTGGATTTGGTACACATACTGGGAAAGAAGGAAAGAATAAGGCAGTATCACTCAGCAAAACAAACAGAAGACATAACACACTGTACTTGTTACCCTCATTCACCTTAAAGCATTTAGTGAATATGCAGTGTGTATTCTACGTATACATTATGTGTATTACATTACCCTTCCTCATTCTTACAAACCCAGTGGAAGAGAACATGTTCTTTTTAGAAGAAGCCATTTTTATCTTTTTATATGTTTTAATTTATCTGTAAAAGAAGAAAAGGGATGACTTAAAAAGAAATCTTATCTGTATATTGCAAATACATGGTTTACTTTAAAAAGGCCTGCCTAAGAAATAAAGTACAGAGCTCATCTCCATTTGTAGCTTGAAATTTAGGCTGTAATTCTGCTGTGCTCAAAACATTATACATATTGCTATATAAATTATTTCATTCACTCTGGAGGATTTAAATGCAGGGTAAAGCACTTCTTAGGGTAAGCATGGTGAAATTAAGCTTCTAGATTACACCTTGTCCTCATCAGTGATACACAAGGTGTTGGGGGAAAAAAAACCTTCTGGAGGTACTCTTCACAAAGTTTAAAATATTGTTGTAGAGGGGTAGATATTACAGGATACAAAGGAGGTACTGAAAATATGTGACATATTACATAGCCCCTAGTAAATCTAGTGTTAGAAAACTGACTCGAATGTCAGGGTAGAAGACAATAACCAGCTAACCGCTTACAAACCCTTCTGAACTGGCTAGATACTAATTCATTAAGGCATTAGAAGGGTAGCATCCCAGCTTATCAAACATGCAAGGCATTAACCCCAGCTGTAGCGTAATTCTGCGAAGTTTGTGCTCATTGTCTACTGGACAACATAGTAAAGCTCTGAAATAGACCTATATGAGTCCTTTTATCAGTATTTACTTAGTCCTTCAGAGCTCCAACATATTCTGTATACAGAACTTCTTAACTCACAGGTGCTATCAGTAAGTAGTAGCATTTGTCTTTCCCAAATGACAGAGGGACCACCACTCCTTTCCCAAGAATCTATTATTTATGAGGATCATAATACTGCTTTCATAGCTTTTATTTTAATTTTGTTTTATTTTACAGATCTATGTGTAGGATGTTATGTCTTTTGCACACTTTCCCCATGTTTTTTTTTCTCTTTTTTTCAGTTGCTAGCCAAAATCTATAAAATGCCCTTGAAACCCATCTTCCTCAGTGGCCGGCTGGCTAACTTGCCCCGAAGAGTACAGGAACAATCAGCCAGCAGTGAGGATGGTATTGAGTGCATCCTTTCTGAATTTGATGACGACACTGGTAAGTGCACTGAAAGCAGTAACTACATCACATGTAACTACATGCGATGACACAAAGGAATTAATCAATTGCTTCTTCCACAAGTCACTGTAAATTTTGACAATTACTGAAAGCAAACAAAGAAGGGAAAAACTTGTTATAGTTTTTTTGTCTCTCTATTGTCTATAAATATACACAGCTTGGAAGCTAGGTATAGTAAGGTGTTTCCTGTCTCAGCAGCAGTTACAGTGTTTGCAGCCTAACTTTAAATAAACCAGTTAGCAGCATATGACCATGTGTGTTCAGGTTGTTTCGCCTCCTTTATGTTAAAAGATGCAGCTTATATATGAGAAAAATACAGTCCCTCTCTTGGGAAAAAAAAATAATATTTTAATTATCTTGACCTTCATAATATGTACAGCATACATTTCTAAGAGTTAGCACAAAGATACTTTTTGGACCATGGCAGCATTAAAGGAGTGAAAAACTTTTAAGTTTGTTATGGGGCAGGCCTGCATTTAACAGAAAACAGTGTTGAGTTGTCCTGTGGTTTATTGGGATAAATGGTGGTGTATTTCCAAAGTCTCAAAAGCACTACGACCTCCAGAAAAGCAAGCAGCACTTATCTCCTAATTATTTGTGTGGCATATACAGTTTGTGGATTAAAGAGACCTTTGATGGACCCGAGAACTAGCTCTGCATGGAGCTAAGCAGTGCAGGGATGCAGACTTACTGCTTCTTGACCATGATGGCTCTTGAAAGCAGCACAGTCGCTTTTGAATAGCATCTGAACTATTGAGCTGTTTAGACCCAGCTGCCTCTTTGGAGCACCAGCATCAGCCATACAGAAACCATGGTTCTTGATACCTCTTTTCATCCAGGCTTTTCCGTCACCTGGATTTTCCTGCTACCCCAGATAAGGGCTCTCTGAAAAAAGCAAAATACAGGTCCTAGGACCTTCACGTTTATTCTACTCTGTCTGGGCTTGAGAACACCATTTTGATATGAAGACTTTGCCTTTTGATTTCAAAAGGATCCTACATGATATGCAGAGTTGAAAGGTTTTATCTACTTACAGCTTCTGAAGTGATATACCTGCCACCGCTTCCTACAGGCTACAGGAAATGAAGTTACTGTCACTATCAAACATTCCAGTAGTAAACTACCTTAGGCTTATTAAAATCTAACCATCTAGCCTTGTACTACACCACAATTTAAGATAAGCTGTATCTTTTCAGCTGTATGTTATATAACCCCCCCCCACACACACAGATGTTTATACATACACATAGATGTATGTCACAGTATGTTTACATGTTAGACATGTAACCTTGGTCTTCTTCAGATTGCCACATTTCCTCTCAGCCTATTTTAGGACTAACCAGTTTCACAAAATTTAAAACAAATTTTGACTTTCTCCTTTTTATATTTTCTTTTGTTTTTTTGTTTTTCTCTCTCTGGAAATTTTAGGATGTTCACCTGGCATGTGGGAGACCCAAGTCACTTGAACTGTCTGCTTTGAGTTAGGCTTGGCAGAGAAAATGAGCTTATTAGTGAACTGAAGTAAAATCCTTTTTAGGCTAATAAACCCATAGCCTTTTAACGAGACTTATCTCAAGAACATCACTACATGTTGCAGGAGTACTGCGACTTTAATATGCAAGATTGTTCTAATCATTGATAGTATCATGGGAAACTAGCAAGTACTGAGTGATCTGTAAAAAATCAAATGGCTGCAGTTCCTAATTATTTTCAAAATTGTAATGAAAACTAGCTGTATCTCATAATCTTTTAGGGGTTTTCTAATGTATTCATAAATTCTCAGTACCACATTTATGCAAATTGCTGTTCTCATAATTGTTCATCCCTGCCAGTATCCATGTTTAACACTCTTCTGTCTGTTACCTCTTACAAATCTAAAGATGACATGAGTGGCAGCCTGGTGATACCTTGTGAGGCGTTAATACGGTTCGGTTCTAAGTACTGAATATAGCCAGTTGAATTATGGCTAGTCACCTGTCTAAGAGCATGACCGAAGCAGGTACAAACCATTCTGGGCAAAATTTGCAATACTAGTGAGATGCAGAATGTGCCCATTACAAAAAAAAAAAAGAGAGAGAGAGAGAGAGAGAGCGCGAGCGAGTGAGCGAGCACGCAAGCAAGGTTGAAAAGACTGGACTAATGTGACTGGAAAACTGGGAAAGAGAAAAGAGACCACAACAAAGTGTGTCCACAACAAGGTGTGTGTGGAGGGAAAGGATGGGACAAAATATGAAACTCAAGGGAGAGAAAAGGAAAAATTAATAATGCTTTCCACCGTTGCTTTCAAAAATTAATATTGCTTTCCACCATTACACAGCAACAATGAATGAGGATGAATTAAGTTCAAGAACCCATGGTCTCCAATCTATTAATTTCTTAGCCTCATTCATTTTCTGAGGGCAAATTCCTCCTGTGGTCAATGCAGTGTTCTCACTTGTGCCTTTTTAATCTTTGTTTCCTTCCTTGTAGGCCTTATCAATGTCTGGATTATTCTGCTGGAAGAATTAACAACTGCCATATCCAACTGTCCCCGCCAGCACCAGCCTCCCACTCTGGATCTGCTCTTTGAATTGCTGAGGGACGTTGCCAAGACACCTGGTAATGAAAGGACTTGATAAAATGTGAGCTAGCAGAGCCCTGACTGACCCTCTTAGAATCAGAAAACATTTCTGTAAACTGCATTACCCATGCTGGAGCTGCATAGAGACATCATCAAATAGAAACAGATCCTCTTGGAGCGTACGGTGTGGTTAGCTAGCCCATTTTTTTATGTTGACGAAAGACAGCTTGTATGTTGGAGTCCTACAGGCACAAACAAAGAAGTGCAGTACTCTTGTCAGTGCCCTAGCCACAGAAAATATTTGTGTGGTATCCAGGAAATCCTAAAAGAAAGTGCTATTGTCCTGTAGTCCCTGTGGAAAACACAGCAGGTAAACAGTTAGGTAAATGTTCATATACTAGCTCATGATCAAGTAAATCCAAAACTGCTCCTCCTCTCTCATCCTGCAGGAAGAGTCCCAAAACCTGGTTTCTTTAGCATCACATAACCCCTGGACTCAAGCCTTGAACAACTTATCAAATTTACTTTGCATGTAGGCTATATAGGCAAAGATATACAACCATCATTGTGATTTTTTTTTAAGGCCCAGGATTTGGCATTTATGCAGTTGTACATCTTCTTCTTCCTACGATGTCCCTTTGGCTCCATCGCAGTCATGGTGACCATTCTTACTGGGATGTGGCATCTGCTAATTTCAAGCATGCCATTGGCCTTTCCTGTGAACTAGTAGTGGAGCACATTCAAAGTTTCATACACTCAGGTATGTCATGTCACTATCACTTCTAATGACAGTCATCGGTGGCATGTTACTGAATAGCTACTTGGGGAGATGATTTCTTTGCTTTTTGGTTGCTTAAGCATTAGAAGAGGACGCTTGAGAATTTTCATTTGGTGCGCTTTTTTTATCAGGTTTAGAGGGGTTTAGAATCATGAAAAAATGTAACTTGGAAAGGACCTGTGGGTGTTTTTTAGTCCATTCTCCTGTTCAGAGCAGAGCTGTCTTTGAAATTAAATCATTACAGTTTATATTACTTTTTATTTATATTATACTTTCCAAAAGAAAGTTGGTAGGACTTTTGATGATAAAGAACGAACTAGAGTAGTCAGAAACAGGAACAGGAACTAACAGAATTTCTCCAGTATCGCTTAAGCACAAACATTTTATAATGTTAACCTCAAAAGGACTGGTCTCATTTCAGTTTGATGTAGTGAACCATAGCAATCGCTGCATAAAAACAGTTGTTTTAGCAAAGTCTCTGAATAGCAATAAGTGTAAGCAAGAATGTTTGTCTCTAAATAATAATACAAAGACAATGATGTTAAAACCAGTCCTTGTCTTTTCTTTATAGATATTGGTTATGAAAATATGATCAATACTATGCTAAAGGATCTTTTCAAGTTGCTGGTGGCCTGTGTAGCAGAACCCACAGAAATAATTTCCAGAGTTGGCTGCTCTTGTATCAGGTAACAGTCTCTTTATTCTGTTAGCATATTCAAAGAAGATGTCTTTATGTCTAAAATCTTTGAAGAACTTGTAGACCGATTAAGTTGTCTAACATCTCGGAAGTCTGCAATATATCTGCCTCTTGTTATTTGAATGCTGAATTTTAGACCCAGCCTTTTCTCGCTGTTTTCTGTCAGCCTCAGAGCCTGTAATTTTAGGAACTCCTGTGTGTATCATTCCCATAAAAAACACTTGTACATTACCTGTATACATTTAGTCAATAATTAATCCTTAGGAAAAATAAGCAATAGGCATTCTGTTGGAATTCATGGGTGTTTAGTTGTAATTAATCCTTTTCACAGTCTTCAGATTGCTATTATAGTCACAATCAAAATAAGTACTGCCATATACTTCCACAATGTTTGGTTCTTTTCCTGGACAGATGACACTTCAAGAGAGAAATAAAAAAAAAAATCTTTCAAAACATACAGTGTAACTTACAAAAAAAGGGCTCAGGGTATCAACTGGCAAGTCTGAGGATATAGGAGATAACTACTGAGTTGCCGCCTCTTCTGTTTTCAGCCTTCTCCCATTACAAATAAGAACTGTCTGGCACTTGAACGTGGTAATGTTTTCCTGTATCCTTGCTTGCAGGTATGTGTTAGTGACAGCAGGACCTGTTTTTACCGAAGAGATGTGGAGGCTTGCATGTTGTGCCTTGCAGGATGCGTTCTCTGCCACTCTAGAGCCAGTAAAGGTAAATTGCCTTTCTGCTGAGATTCAGAATGTAATTGCACTAATTAGACTTTTTTTTTCTTTTTAAGACAAGCTTTGGGGTACACAGCCAGGAAAAGGACCCTAAGGAATATGTGGTAGTTTTTATCATTTTGTCAATTCACTTACAATGAAAGGTGTTGCATCCACAACGGAGACTGAAATCTGTTTTTCTAAACATGTAAAGACAACACTAGTCATTAACAGTCCAGACTTTTTCAAGTTGCCCTTCAGCATGAACTCAGGAGTGTTAAGTAGGTAAAAACTTACCTTTTGATCCACTTCTTCCTCTGGATTGACTAAACCTAAACAGAAGACCAACAGTTGCTTACTTGATCCTGTTGCTGCATATTCTATATAGATTATTTCCCAGCTCTTCTCATATCTTTCTCATAACAAAAAAATCCTGTTAATTCATCACAGGCCAGACTTTATAAGAAGTTGTAATGCATTTGCATCAAATGCTAAATAGCAGGAGGCTGGCTGATGATAACGGGACAGATGACTCTGATTTTTGTAATATACGTGAACAGGATGGACAACTCTACAGTTGCTGACTTAATTTAACGCACAGTGAAAGTCTGATGTTGTGTCTCTCTATAGAACCTGTTGGGCTATTTCCACAGTGGTTCTGAAAGCTTTAGTGGAGATGCCTGTGAAGTGAAGGTGGCAGCCCCCTCCCTCTCGCCAAGTGCTGAAGCTGAATACTGGAGAATCAGAGCCATGGCACAGCAGGTACTGACTGCTTTACAGGGAAGGCCAGAGTAGCTTCCTTCCTTGTTAGTACTGTGTACAAGGAGCTAAACAAACCTGAGGCTTCTACCCATGAAAGTTCTTGGGAATAACAAATAATGGGCCTGAAGGAAGTGTCCTTCCACAGCAACAGTTACTGGCAGCTAAGAAAACTGCTCCCTTGCTGCTTCCCCATGGAGGCCTTAATATAAAATAGCACTTCCTGATTGATGTTTTTTGTACCTTGCTCTCTGGCTGACACTTAAGGCAACACCTGTACCTCTTGCCTGCAGCGTTCCTCACAAACTGTGCAAAATCTAAGCACACTTCCTCATCACCAGACTAACGGTTTTTTGTCTAATGGTATTAGTAAGAAGTAGTAGTAAACTAGAAAAATCCTTAAGAGTGTCACCCTGTAAAGGAGGAATTAGGCCTGACTGTGGGAGGGGGAAAGATGAATATGTTACCTGATCAGACGGATTATAAGCCCATTGGATAATAATAATAGCTTAGAAAGAAATAGGCAGTCCTAGCATACATCAGCAAAGATGTTTCTGATAGGGCAAGGGACATATTAGTGTCACTGTGAGTCCTCATGTAGAATATCATACGTTTCTGATTACTCTGTTCAAGAAAGATAAATTCAAAGGGCAAAATAATGCACTAGAACAGAGACTGCTATGAAACTAGAAAGACTAGGTTTGCTCAACCTATCAAAGCAGGGTTTGAGGGGAAATGCAGTTTTCTATAAATACCTGGGTATAGATGACAGAGAAGGAAAAGAGTTACTGAGAACCGGAGGATAATCTTGACATTGAACAAATGATATACAACTGACCACTAACTCCTAATCAGCAAAGCAAGCCCTGAGATGACCTTCTCAGGGTACTTTTTACACTGTATTATTAACTAACTGCAGTGGAGGCTGGTCAGCTTATGAAAGTGGTTATATAAAACAAGTTCCTTGAAATGCAGTAAGTCTGATGACCTGCAGCATACCTTAAAACTATGAATACTATGGGACAGTTTCAGCACGGGAAAGTGGCTGGATTAAAAGAGCCAGTAGATGCTTGGTGTCAGTTTCTGACTTGATTAATTGTACCCTGATGCTGCTTAGAAATCCCAGAGATTCAAACAGGATTTGTGAACACCTCAGTGGAATCCTTCTCAGTGGGGATTTAACACAACTACTAAGTTAGAAAACAAAGCCATAGCAACTGAGAGTTGTTTCCCCGTGTGCCTCTCAAATAATTGCAAGTTAGGTATCTGCTGTCTCTTCATGGCTGAAAATAATCATCCTTCCAACAACCAACCTTTCTAGGTAGAACACGCTAACTATGCAAACAGCTCCTTGTCTTCACTATACATGATATTTTCAGGTAGTAGCATAAGGTCAGTAGAAAGCTTGTTTTGACATTTGGTATGATGCCTTATGCAAGTTCAAAGAAAGAGATGTCTGTCCTTCCCCCTGTGCTCCATTGGGTATCTGGAAGTAGTCCAGAGCGCTGAGGCTGTTTACCAAAGCAGCATGCTCCCAGGAAGGTTTGCCTGGGGATACCATTAATTCCCTCTGGCACTGTAAAATAAGCCATCCTAACAGGAGATCTTCCACAGACATTCTGTTGTCAGCCCCTGCTTAGGACTCGGTGCAAGCGCTAACCTGATTGTTCTCTCGGCTGTGATGTTTTCCAGGTCTTCATGTTGGAAACCCAGTGCTCCCCAAAGACTCCTAACAACAAGGAAGGGTTTGAACATGCCCAGTCTTGTGTGCTTATCATTGACCTGCCACCAGATAAGAAACCAAACGGACATACCCAGAGAAGGTAAAGTATCTTCCTAGGAAAATACTGTGTAGTTAAAAGCAAGATAAAAACTGTTAGGCTGGCAGAAATGTGAACAGAGCATGGCAAACCATGCCTCTCCACAGGTTTCATCATAAAAGTGAGATGTACAGATCAAATAAAAATTAAGTTTTGTGACATAGGAGACATCAGTTTGCCTGTCCTCTGCAGCCCAGATGTTCCCATGATCATACATGGGTGAACAGGCATGTTGAAAAGCTATTCCAGTTACAGATAGACCATTTCTACAGATTGTTATCTGTGTCATGGTCCATAATGTGACCATTAGAAAGCTAAATAAGGAAAACTCTTCTAATAGATAGTAAAGTTTGGTAGGTTACAAATACCTGAAGGGATACATAGGGTCACACAAAGCCATTTTTCATAGGAAATATCAGGAAAATCTTTCCAGATACTTTTTAAGAAGTACAGTAGAAATATCAGTTTAAAGAAAGCTTTAGAAGTACTGTTATGTTTGGAATGATATCTGGCAAGTGAAATAATGTCTTCTTCAGTAATGGTGTTTTAAATTTAGTATTATTAAGAAGGTGGGAAAAGTAAAAAGGTAAACTGGGGCAGTTGTTTAAATTGAAGAGGCCACATTCAAAGCTACAAAATTGTCAAGATACTGATCTAGAGAACTGTCTTTTTGCTTGATATTTTTTTATTTTTATAGAAATCCTTCTCTATGTTATCACCTCAGAAGCCCATGTGTTTGCAAGACACTTAGTCTGATCCTGTCAAAAGATATTTATTTTTGCTTACACTTAGTTGTCTGACCAAATGCTGTAACATGAACAGAGCCAAGAAGTGGAGTTTTGCATTCAGGGCTTGTTTTTGTATTGCAAGATATGTAATACAGGGCATGAAATGGTCCTTAATTAGATACCAAACGTGCAGCTGTATCACTTTAGGTCTCCTAATTCAAAGCTAAACTATTGCATGCAAGAAGGAGCCAGAGTTTGGTGGTCCTTTTTGGATGGACAGGAAGAAAAAGCATGCAAGAAGTCTCACTTATTAAACAGCTGTGCAGAAGTTTCCCCCAAGAGCAGGTGCTCTGTTGTCTTGCCTTCAGAGAACAGGCTCCTGAATAGGGGCTAGGAAAGGCTGGGATCCCACTGTCACCCTTTCCTTCTTGGTGGGAAAAAAAACTGCTCTGTCCTAAAGGTTCACAGATCTCCTTCTTTGTTATAATGAACTCCAAGCAAAAAACTAGAGCACTGCCTTCCATGGCACATATGCCATGAAGTCAAACAGGCTGCATTTAGAAAGGTAGCATGGGCCATGTTTTTCTTTAAACAAATAAATAAAGCATGCTTGCAATTAATACAAACTCTGAATGCTCTCACAGTGCTGTTCATGCTCTTTATCTAAAAAACTAAAAAAAAATGTACTTGCTGATAGGGAAATGCTTCCCCAGCAACATTCATTTTTCACCAAAACAAGGCTCAAAATTTGACTGTGCGACTGTTTTTAATATTATTTGCTACATTAGTGCAGCACTGCATGCCAGGCTTGCCTGCTAATAACTGTAGCCTTTCAAGGCTTTGCTTTAACATTAGTGGGGTTTCACTTTTCCCTTTTTGCTTTTGTTTCCTTAATGCTGCATCGTTTCACAGGAAGCTGGGGTAAGGGAGCTTTTCTTCTTCCTACAACATAATCATATTTTCAGTTCCAAACTACAGGCAAAATAAGAGAATACTATCCTTAACCAGCACTAGCATCATGCATTTTCACCTATAGTTCCTTGCTAGTTTCTTTTGGAATTGAGCAGTACTTTAAACTGTTTTTGAAAATTGCCTTTATGGCTATTACAAGGAAAGCAGATCTCCCTCATTGTGATCTTGCTTTTGGAACAGGATTAGTCTCTTAAAATCAATGCAAGCATTCATTTAACTTTATACATGCTCTTAAGTGCTTTTCTGAGTCAAGGCTTCTGATGATTTTTACATCAGAAAACTACTTCCACAGTAAAGAGCTCCAATGTATGTATTAATCATCAAATTTTTACCATTGTCAGCTAATAAGACTATTAAATCTTACTGATGTATCAGCACTGACAACTAGTGTCATGGTAGGTGAACTGGCATAGCTAAGTTCAGGTCTTCCCTTTTTTTTTTTTTTTTTTAAATCAGAACCATTTGTCTGGTTTTAGAAGTCAATTAGCATAAGGCAAAATTCTGAATCAAAAATGTCTTTTCTTCTGGATTTTTTTTTTTTAGTAAATATCAATGTTGCAGTCTTAAATGTGATTTTCAATAGAATTTTTCCCCAAAAAAAATCCAGGAAAAAAATTAGACCATGTGTTTTGGCATTTTGAAAACACTTTCAAAAGTTGTTTAATAGACAATTTTTGCAACAAAAAAAGTCTACTACTGAACATCTCGTGTTCATGAAGGTTTATGTTGACTTAAACCTAAAACTTCAGTATTGCAAGCAAACTGAAAAGTCTCTTCCTCACGTGGTAGTAGTGCTAATTAAAATCTGTGACCCCATCATAGTTCCCTAGAATCAAAACAAGTATTACTATGTGTGCCAGAGCATCTGCTCCACTTACCGCAACTGTAATTTTATGCAAACATTTTTTTTAAAATACCTTAAAATAAGTTTCACAGTTTGTAATTTTTAATCCATTAGATACCAGTGTCTTGCTTTAATAACAATCCTATCTACCCCTTCTTCCCAGCCTCCTTGCCTGTAAGTCGCTCAATATTACTTATTAGTGAATTGCCTTAAAACCTTGTCAGGGGGAATTTGACATTCCTGAGTTCCCTGCACAAATCAGAAGTCAATGAAATCTAGAACAATGTGCAGCACATCTCAACAGGAACGAGGCTAAGATCACCTAATATTACACGTGAGAAACAGTGTTAGGAATAAGTAATTCCACACTAGGAGCTCAGTTTTCAAGCTCAAGTCTTAAGAGCAAACAACGAAATATGCCTTCATCAAGACATTGGCTTCCTTGCATGCTCCACTGCATTGCTAGTGTTCTTTCTTGTACATAGGTTTTATTTGGTTAGTTCATTAGTGTTTTGTATTTTAGTTTTAAGAAATGCCGCTGATGTTACTGGAAATGGAAACCAAGATGGTACACCAGCTTAGGCCTCAATTTATCATAGGAAAGTTAAGGTTTGCTGAAATGACAGTGGAGGAGTTTCAAGGATGTTTCAACACAGCCAAAGTTCAGCAACAACAAAAAAAAAGAAAATATAGTCAGGGATCAATGGCAGAAGTGCTGCATAATTTGTGTGTTAAGAAATTTCTTAATTACAATAGTCTGAAATATTGAGAGTCCCTGTATCTGCCATGAAACTGAAAGAGCATATTTAATCCCTCAGAGTGACATATCTGGAGAACAGGAATAGAATTATTATAGAACTTGGTTTTCATACCTGCTCTGCTCAAGTTCATTAGTCTGCTTGCTGTGGATGGTTATCTTTTCTTAATTCATAAAAGTGTCTTCCCACATAGGAAAGTATTTGAAGGAGTAGCCCAAGGACCATTGCAGACAACTTTATCTTCCACCACTTTTTTGAAATAGGACTGGGAAAATTGGGCCTTTCTTTTGCTATCTTTCATGTAAAATTCTAAAATACAAAGTATTCCTACACTTCTAGTAAAATCACAACATAAAATTTTAATTTTTTTTTTCCTTCCCATGCTTGCTTTATCAAGTATTCCTTTCAGGACAATAGTAGTAAGCTTGCTGTCCCACCAAGTATTGCTCCAGAATTTATATGACATCTTACTGGAAGAATTTGTGAAAGGCCCCTCTCACTTGGAGGAGAAAATGACAATACAAGTACCAGAAAACAAGTTGGCTGGTTTTCTCAGGTATATCTCCATGCAAAACTTGGCTGTCATCTTTGACTTACTGCTGGACTCATATCGAACAGCCAGAGAGTTTGACACCAGACCTGGGTTGAAGTGTTTGCTGAAAAAAGTGTCTGGCATTAGTGGAGCTGCCAACTTGTATCGTCAGTCAGCAATGAGCTTCAACATCTATTTCCATGCTTTGATTTGTGCAATCTTGACGAACCAGGAGAATATCACTGCAGAACAAGTGAAGAAGATCCTGTTTGAAGATGATGAGAGAAGCACAGACTCCTCACAGCAGTGTTCGTCAGAAGATGAAGATATTTTTGAAGAAACTGCCCAAGTCAGTCCCCCCCGAGGGAAGGAGAAGAGACAGTGGAGGGCTCGAATACCGTCTCTGAGTGTACAACCTGTCAGCAATGCAGACTGGGGTTGGCTAGTTAAGCGGCTTCATAAGCTCTGCATGGAACTGTGCAACAACTACATCCAGATGCATCTGGATCTAGAGAATAATGTAGAAGAGCCTCCAGTGTTCAAAGGCGACCCTTTCTTCGTTTTACCATCCTTTCACTCAGAAACCTCCTCCCCATCAACAGGAGGGCAGTCTGGGAAGGACACACCCTCTGAAGATGACAGGAGTCAAATGAGGGACCAGGTGGGAGACATCCTGACACCCAGAGGAGGGAGTGGAGAAATGCTGCTGCTACCCCCACCCTCAAGTCCTAAACCAGAGAAAAAAGAGCAAACCAGGAAAAAAGAATGGTGGGAGAGCGCTGGCAACAAGATCTACACCATAGCCACTGACAAAACCATCTCCAAGCTCATGACAGAATACAAGAAAAGAAAGCAGCAACAGGCCATGACGTCCTTCAGCAAAGAGGTCAAAGTGGAGAAGAAAGGGGAGGTCCTAGGCTCAAGAGGGCACGATTCACCCATACTCCAGCGGCCACAACATCTTATAGACCAGGGTCAAATGAGGCATTCCTTCAGTGCTGGCCCAGAGATCCTGAGACAAGAGAAGAGACCACGCTCGGGATCCACAGTCAGCTCCCTGAATATATCTATTCGAGATGCTGAGGCCCAGATACAGGTAGGCCACACTTGTACAATGGAAATAATAATAGTAATAATAATTAAAAAGATACTTGTAAATGTTTTCTCTATGTCTTTTATTAGAATGATTATAATCTCTTTGTTAAACCATTCCTGTCATGATCAAGAATGAATATTTCCAGAAGCTGGCACTGATAAAAGCCTTAAGTCTGTCTTATTAAGAAAACGGCCTTCAGGGAGGCATTATGAGGCACACGGTACAGCTTTCAAGAGTGCTTCTGTGACTGGAGCCAAAGCTGCATTTTTCTAAGAACTAACAACCTACAGTGACACTGACTGCTTACTGCTAAGGGCTCTATCCCAGTTAAGAGCTTTTCAAAACATGAGGGTGCTTATCGCAATGCTCTTGTATTTAAGTAAGTTTTTTCTGTTAATGCTGTAGCAGAAATATTGGCTTCTGTTGCTAAACAGACTTGATACTTGAATGTCCAAGTGAAAAAATCAGTGAAAGCATTAAACTTTGAAATCTTTGTTCACTGTGGGATAAGCAATAGGCAGAGGAAGGTGAGCATGGCACTTGCAATACAAAGTCAAACAGTGACTTAAAAGTACTGAATGTGAACTAGAAAGATGCAGTGAGCATAAAATGAATATACCAGCATTACCCTGTACTGAGGCTGTAACAACAAGATGTCTTAATATTTTTATCTCTATTTAGGCATGGACCAACATGGTGCTGACAGTTCTCAACCAGATTCAGGCCCTGCCAGACCAAATGTTCACAGCCCTCCAGCCAGCAGTGTTCCCCTGCATCAGTCAGCTGACTTGCCATGTGACAGATATACGTGTCCGCCAGGCTGTGCGGGAATGGCTGGGAAGAGTGGGCCGGGTTTACGATATCATCATTTAAATTAGCTGTGCTCTGTTGCAAAGGGGAGAAGACCTCAAAGGTATACAGCAAAGAAGTATTTGAGGTTCGTCAATTGCCTAGTTGTTGGTGATAAATTATGAAACAATGAGCTTGTCAATGTATATCCTCTATCTACATGAGACTGTGTCTGTCACTCTCACTAGCACAGAAGGCAAAGCGGGAGTGTGTTCATGGGGCTCTGCAGTGGCCCCAGAACCCAGAAACTGCAGGTAAACAGGCTCATTCCTAAAGCCTTCATTTTGATTCAAATTTGTAACAGTGGGAGCCACCTTTAACTGCAGGTGAAGTTTCACATTGGCACTTAGCTGTGGATGCAACTGTCATCTGGATGTCAAACTTATGTAAAAGGCAGGAAAAAGGTGAGGCTATAGCAGAAATAAAAACGGTTACACTTGCTTAGGGTAAATTTTTTCCCTCAGAAATTAGCATGAGAGAGGAATAATCTTTATCCAAATAAAGATTATTGTAATCACTATATGCCTTGCTCACTAAAGTAAGTGGAAATTTATTTTGCTCTAAGAAGAGCCTTTGGAAGTCTGGTCACACACAGGGTGGCTAGTGAGCTGCTAATGAAATATCCCAGGTCTAAAACTGGTGAACCAAGCACAGGCTATTCACCCTTTTATTGCCCTTGTGGAGTATTGCTTGAAGAAAAATGGCACTATCCAGCTTTCCTCTATACAACACTACCCTGGCTGCCTGTTCAGCTATGCTTACATCTGCTATGCCGATCATCTTTCCATATGTATATAATTCCACCTGAGAGCAACAGAGAAGTTTTGTTTTGCTGTTCCCTGTGAAGCTGAGGGAAAGGCACATCAGCAAGGAAAGCTACAGCCAGGCCACATGCCTGTATCCAGCAGTCAACTAAATAGAATGAAAATTAAGTGTTCCAGTTCAGCCAACACTCCTGCTAAGCTGGCTTACGCTTTCACTGGAAACATGTACTTTTGCCCACATCGGGCTTCTGTAGCCAGGAGGCCCCTTATCACCTACACTAAACTTAGCCCATCACGCCACACTGAGCTGAATCAAGATGGAAACCAGTTGGAGAAGAAGGTATCTATCTTTCCTGTTTCTCTCAGAGTTCTGGCCTGCTGCTGTAAACAGAAGGGGACAGATTCTCATGTAGGCATATCCCCCTCTGTGCAGCACTTCAGTATGGGCTGCTGCAGTTTGCTGGTAGACACTCTACTTTTAAATATGAGGGGGAGAAGGGGAAGGCGTGACTAATATTGCCAAATATGTAGGGGGACACTAATCACACTAGATAGAGTAAAGGTTATTTTGCCACACCAATAATGTCACAGCCCCAGGGATATTCCATCTCATACTCCCATTCTAAACAATTTACTAATTGATTTTAATCTTAGGTGAGCCCTTGATGATGTTCTCCCAAAGCTTTTTAAAAATGTGCATGCCAACTAAATATACAGCTTCAGTTCCTGCTGCAAGGTATCCTCAGAAATAGTATCTCATTATATCAGGCTTGGACTTTGCACAACTAACTTTTTAGGATCTTAAACTGGAAAAAGGGAGAGTCAGTCCAAGAGGATCCCCTGAACAGCCATCACCTTAGTTGATGTGTCCACTAAGAAGCTGCCCAGTTTTCTGCCTCTTCCATCCACTCCCAACTCCTCATTTGCCAACTGCTAGACTAGTGCAGGGAATACTTTGTCTCATAACTTTCTGCAGTGTCAATCACACAGTTTCCTTGTCTTTCAAAACTTTCTATTCCAAATTGTTCCTTAAAAAAACAAAAACCACACAACTCTCTTTCTTACCACCTATTTTTGACTTTTTAAATGAGTAATTTAACAACTATAGCAATTACAGATTTTGCCTTGGGGAACAAGTGAGATTAGTCCTTGGTACCTGGGAGCGTGGTGGTGTAGTTTGATTTCTGCTGCTGTGTCTTTCTTGCTCATCTTTAGGCAGAGTAAAGGGATGGTTATATTTTTATTCTGAAAATTTTTATTGGGCATATATACAGAACTGTTTTTAAAGCAATAGATTAAGTAGGAGCAATAATAGAAATCAGAGTAACAAAACTGTAAGCAAAACACCATACTCTGCTGGGTTTTTTTTTTTATTATGTATGTATTGATTAGGTTCAGATACTGGCTATGCTTAGCTAAAACTTAAATAATTCCCTGATTTACATTGCAGAAGTGAAAATTTATAATAGCATCAATAAAATCAGATTCTAGAAGAATGCCTAGGACCTGGGAAACACTATAGTTAGTTATGTATGCAGTTACAATACAAAAGTGCTACAGAATGAAAAGCTCTAGAAGAGACCATATCCAAAAGAAAGATATGCATGACATGCCCTAATGCCACTTGCTTAGCCAGCTGCTTCACTCAAAATGAATATTGTTTCATTTCCACTTTTTATGCCACAACTACCACTCTGGAATAGACTAGGAGTAAATCTGCTGACTTGTTCTTGCCCATATTTTAACTCCCTGCCCTCCAGATTATGCACTAAGTGGCCATTGACACCCTCAGTGCCTCTGTTCATTATTATTATCCCTCCTCCAGAGAACCATAAGAAGACATGAGTAACTGAGTAATTCCAGAAATCTCATGTAAAAGGAGAGGAAAAAGAGAAAAATGAATGTTTGACCTAGCACAGTTTAGTATGTGTTACTCTTCCTTTCCTTTATATGTAAAATGGGAAGCAGATGGGGCGGGCAGGCCATGGCTACCTCATGACTCATTAAGCTGACATGCAGAAATGTTTCTGATACACCTCTGAAATTAAAAAGACATGGACTTGGACACATTCTCAACCATTTTTGATAGTCTAACCATAGACATCAGAGAGCCCCAAACAGATAAATGCTGAATGAGTGAAGTCATCATCTCAGAGCTGTGCTATCTGTCTGTTTCATGCATACTTTGGGTTGCTTGGCTTAAGGCTGCCAAGGTGCTGTGCTCAGGTCTCACAAAGCATGTTTTTTCGCCCAAAGAAGGAGCCTACTCAGAATAGTCCCAGGAGAGGATGCCTGCGCCAAGCAGTCGAAAGCTTGCAGAAGGGATTCCCCAGCTCTGCACGCACCAGTCATGTCCATCTGCACCCGCACTACAGCTGCCCTTCTGCTTCCCACTTGCAAGGAGGGAGTACCTCAGACAGTAGCACAAAGTAGCCCTTGTCCTCACACGTGTAAGTAACCGTAACCATTCAAATCCTTACTTAAAGCCCCAGTATAACCTAATGCATGAGGTACCAGCAGCATATTAACAGCTCTACTGTTGAATCAAAAAATTTGAGTCTTGAAAAACATAGTCTTTGCAATGTAGGCGGAGCTTGCCCTGGCCCTTCTTTTCACTTTGGTTAATAGCTACAGTCTCTCTTTACTCGCACCTCTGTTTCTTTGTGTAACACACATTTCTATATGGGTTGGTTTTGTTTTTTTATGTAACTGGCCAGAAAACAGAGCGTTTCCTAATTTTGTCAGTTCCAGTTCTGCTGATTCTACGAGTCCTTCTAAATAACTTTAAGATGTTTTCTCCCTCTTATCTTCAGTGAAAGGGCCTGCTCCTGTGCTCTCATGTGTCACCTGTTCTCTTCTGTTGTTTAGGAACTATTTATAAATTGCACAGGTAGTGTTTTAAGTCGAAGATGGACTGGCACAGCATTCTTGGGCATTATTTATTAACTGGAATTTTGTTTGTGGAATTCTACCTTGTCAATTTTGAAATTTAGTCCTGTTGTTTAAACAGAGGAATTGGCATCCGTCTTTCTCTCGTCTGTCCTTTCTAGCTAGTGAAGCAAATTTGAAATTGCAAATGCAGCTTTTTACTCTAACATTTCAGAATAGCTTGATTTGTAGGCCACTAGTGTTAAGATACAGAAATCAAAACCCTCTGCTTTAGTAAGGCTACAAGGCAGCTAACCTGTTTATAAGAAGCCATGAAAGTATGTAATAAATCAAATGATCATTTTTTGACCTTTGTTTTATTACCAGCTGATTTTAAAATTAAAGAATACAACTTAAACATTAAAACTGGTAGTTATATAACTTCCTGTAATGTGATATGATAATTTAGACACTATGGCTATAAGCCCATCCAAACTAATAGTTCATTAACAGAAGCTGATTTATACAAGTGAAATCTGAAGAGATGTATTTCAGGTATTCCTAGTTATGGCAAACTGATATCAGAAATGCGTAAGTCCCCATTAAAGCCTAAAGTGCTACTGCCTTAAAAAAAAAAAAAAAAAAAGAGAATGGCCATCAGGAATCAAACTCAGGTAACAGGCCTGCATTTCAGCTATGCTGTTCTTGGGTTATTTCACACTGCCTCCATCAGGCCACTAACAGTGGAGGGTCACTACACAAATAGATGCAACACGCTTTCTTTTTAAATATGCTTCTGGCAGCCACTGACAAAGAAAATTGCTATAGGCCAGAATCACATACGCTTACTCTTATGAAATAGCTCTATTCCATGACAATATTTAAAGCTTTAAAAAAAAAGAGAGAGAGAAAGAGAGAGAGAGAGAGAGAGAGAGAAGCATACGTATATGTATGCTTGTACAACACACATGAATGCATGGTATAGTGTAGTGCAATTATATGCAGATGTACGAAAAGATTGATCTGTTTTTATGTGGATTCCTATGGCTCCAATCACTATCATAGTCTGAGCACCCTACATGTTTACAGAGTGATATCTACATTAGTAATATGTTTATCATGCTCTCTTGAATATCTGTCATATCAGCAATACTTACTACGGTTCTTCTGGTAGCTTCACTGCAGTAGTCTTTTATGGGCATTCAGCAGACTTAGAATTAACACCACCATCTTTTGGTGAACATGTATAATTTTCTAACATATTAAGATACAGATACAGTACTCTTCCAGAGATAAACCCTCACTGTAGCGTAATCAACTTATTT